AAGGAGGAAGGATTCTCGATCTCGAGTACCGAAAAGAAAAATCCTACGAAAATAAATGGGAAAATAATATGTTATCACACTTTAAATATTTTATTTATAATGAAATAATATTTTTACAATTGAAATAAAAAAGAAAAATAAGAACTTGACAAAAACATTATTATTAAAAAATATAAATAAGGGTCTATGGAGAGTCAAGTTTTTCAAAAACTAAATGAAAATGCAATCTTCACTGACACATATAACTCTTTGATTATAATGAAATTTCTCTTCTTGTCATTAAAAACAAAGGGAAAACATGCACTTGATTCTCCATTAATGATGATGATCTAGTTCAAGAAATATGCTTATATTACTTTGTAGAACACAGGCAGAACCTGTGACCTTAGCCTGCAAGATGCGTGACCCTTGACTTGGTCCTTATTCTTTATTCTTAAACTATGCTATATTCTTTTTTACAATGCTGACTTTGCTTAATTGCTAAGTTATATTCATGACTCAGTTCATGCCCATTACCAATGCAATGTTCAAAAGCATGGGAACTTTTGGACATGATTTCAGGTTTCCTTGTGATAAGGCTTATTATCAAGTGTGTCACATGAATAATATTGAGCAAGTTTTGTTAAAACTTCCTCTTATGGAAGGAAAAAAAATAGGTAAAATGAACAAAAGAAAAGAGAAAATAAAAAGAAAAAAGAAAGACAAAGATACAAAATAATAGTATTAGAGAATAGAGAGATGTGAGGAGACAGAGACATGTAGAAGAATAAAGTTAGGGTTCTTGACTTTTTACTATAAACTAGTCTCTTTTGATATTTATGATTGTCCATCTCAACAAGTATCACTTCCGGGAATCGAATTTTTCATATTATTATTATTATTAGTGTTTCATAGTACCATAGGTGATGTATTGTTGATTGTGGTGTTGCCTAGCATTAATAAGAAAGACATTGTATGTCCCTCATTGATTTTGGTGAACCAGGTCTGCAGTTTTCTATTCCCATTCTAAGAGTTTTTCCACATTTGTCTTTATATTTATATTAATTCTATGTCAAAATAGTTGTAAGATTTATTGAAAATATCATTATGAAAATAACTAAACTTGTAATTCTAAAGATATACTATAATAATATGGGATGGACCCATGAGATAAACTCTCATTATTTATTTATATCATATATATATATATATTATCGTTTTTCCCCAAGTTATATTAATTGGGTACTACCAAGGCTATTCCTTACCTTTTTAGGTAAGGAACTAATCTCTTTCGGGTGCATGATTGTCTCTCCCAACAATTGTCACTCTTAGGAATTGAATCATTAACCTTTTTTGTCATCTTGGGATCTAACGGAACCTTACACCACTAAACCAACATATTTATGTTTTTCCCTGATTATATGAATAAATTGCTTATAAAAAAATACTCAAACTTTAAAAATTAAAAACATTATTTTATTTATCCCATTTCTAAAGCAAAGTATAAAGCAATATAACATTTAATTCATTCACTCTTCTGATACACAATACTATTATTAATTTATTATAAAATAATTGTACCTAATTTACATTTTGTAAAGGTAATTGTGTGATCCTTAACACACATTAATAATTAATATATTTAAAAAATATGTTAAAATTTTATACTATAAATTTATGTTTATATTGCACACATCTTACAATTTCTAGTACATCACTTATATATAATAATAGAAATATGCAGAAAAATAATATCCCAATGTTGATGAAATAAGATAAACTTATATTTGTTTAGAGTATCTTAGAAGAACTCTAGTATTAAGATTACTTTATTTTATCTTTTTATTTATTTCTGTATTTAATTAGAAGTCTAGTAAATAAGAGTTAATACTATGTCTTTTATAATGCAATATTATCACATTATCATGACAATATCATCAATGCAAATTATTATTTTCAGAATTCATTTTTCTCCTTCTATATCCATCTAATCCTTATAATTTCAATATGATATCAAATTTATGGTATTTTCCTTAATAAAAGCTTAGATTTGCGATCATTTTATCGGTTAGTTTTCTGGTTATCACATCCTTATAATCATTTATCGTCATTATAGCCTCCCTCTTTACCGTATTGACATTATCTCCTCATCTCAAAATCAACAATTTGTGGGTTCTAAATCCAGGACCATAGATTTGAAATTGATACAAACTTTTGATACCATAAGCTTGAGGCAGTGCCTTTACAACATCATCTATCAATACAAAGGATATGCTTCTATGAAACTGCACTTGATGTATAGAGATGACAATTTACAATAGCCTCAATTGGCATGAGCATAGGGTTTTACAAGAATTATTTTTCAAATAAAAAATATTTGTATGTTATGAACAACTTCTATTTAATGGTGATTTGATTCTCCAAAATAATCTAATACATGAAGTGATCTAAGAATGTTATGATCAATTATTTTCAACTCCACATTACTTTTGTTGACAACTTATCAACTACTTTATTTTAAAATAACTTTGTCCATATGTGACAAGTTGGATGGATATGATGTATATAATCCAATTTGAGGGAGAATGTTTTATATAGAACTGTTGAAATGATTCACGTCCTGTGTAACTCAAATCTATCTTGGTATAGTTGTATTAGTGTTCTTATGTCGATCAAGGTTCTTCTCGATGCTCTTGATATCTTCACGATTACCAATTAAATGATGGTGGTTTTTGGATTATGGTACTCAACTACTCACTAATTCTCCCTTATTGAAGATGACTCCTCAAATTGGTCATTGTTGTTTGTTGTTTCCTATTGTGCGACAATCGTTCTTTTTATTTTGCTTTTGTCCATGGTGCTTAAGCTTGGAGATAGCTTATGTCGTAGATGGTTAAGCATTGTTTGCTTCTGCATTGAATAGTTAAGCATTGTTTGCTTCTGTCCATTATTGTTAAGCTTGGATAATGATATAACCATTATGTCATGGATGGTTAAGCGTTGTTATCTTCATCTTCGTCTTAATCTTCTTCAATTTATTTGCCTAGAGCTTATAAAGTTCATCATTAATCATTGATCAATCCATCTTCAATTTCTTTTGTCTAGAGCTTGTAAATCTCACCATTGATCAATCAATTTCAGATTTCGTCAAAATTTACAACCCCTTGAAGCCATATTTATGGGATCCCTTGTAATTATTATGAATACTTTCCTTTTAAGAGGAATTATTTGTAACAAAATTAAAGCATAGTAAGCTTAAATTATATTATAGAGAATAATAAGATGATATAGACATGTAGATAATATATCATATTATGATGATTATATCTTAGATTTGTGTAGAATATCTTAGAAAAATTTGGGAGTCATAAGGTGATCAAGTGGTAAGAAGTGAAGTGATAAGGAGGTTGAGGGTTCAAATCTCAACTATCACAACATATTAATATACTAACATTTGCTTATAAAAAAGGTAGGGATTCCCTTACTTCAAGAGTAAGTTTTTAAACTTACTACATATATAATGTACCATACATTATATTATATTATGTTAGTTAGTTTCTATGTGCTAGTTCCTTTAAACCAACATACACATATTTATAATATAAATGGACTACATTTTCATAAATTGACCAACTAACATTAATTTATAAATGGAGAAACAAGTACTAAATGAATTTTCCAACAAAATTTACTTCCCATTTTACGGTTCAAATTCCAATAATACTTTTATCATTTTTGGATTGACCTCCCCATGAGTCACTTCCCATTTTCCCATCGATATTGATTTTTATTTTAATATATATGAAATGATAAACATTTAAAAAGTATATTTTAAAAATAATATAAAAAACAACCAAAATATTATAACATAAAAAAATAACTTGATACTTTTTTTTAAAATTTACTCTGTAAAAAATAATTGTTCTACCTTACTTGAATTAATTATTAAACTAAAAACAAAATAAATCATATAGTTTATAAACTAAAAACATAATTTATCTCAAAACTCATTCATCTATTTAAGCCAAATTTTAGTAGAACTAAGTGTAGTTTCTTCCAATAATTTAAGTTCACTGAGTTTTTAAATCTAATTTCTCATTCATCAGTCTTTCCATTATATATGTATATATCATTCGTTCCATTATAAATAAACAATATATCATTTCTTTTATGCAAGTGATAAATAACATTTTGTAATATTAAATATTATCTCATTCATCTGAAAAGATACATGGTTAACTAAAAATGATAGTCATTTACTAACCTAAAATTTTTAGGTGACACCTCTCTTATAAATCGATAAAAATTGTCTCAAATCAAAATAAAAAATGAGAAAAAAAATGTATGGGTATGACTTGTTATTGAATCATTTATTTCGTATTTAATCAGTCTATTTAAAAATTTAAAAGTAATCTAAATGAATAGTTGATAATATAGTGATTATATATAAATACTTACGGTGATAGTGCATAAATATTTCAGTTAATAAAAATTTGTTTTTGTTGTCCATATAACAATAATTTATTTATTTTTGGTGCTACTAAGGGTATCTCTCACCATTTTGGGTAGAGAACTAATCATTTTTAGGATGTGTGGCTTACCATTCCAACAAGTGTCACGTTCAAGAATCGAACATTTAACATTTTAGTCATTTTGGAAATCTAGTGGGTCTTACACCACTAAATCAACATATTGTTGGTATATTACACCATTTTTATAAGTAACCAAATAGTTGTTCGATAGTGATGTGAGATTAGTTATTAACCTTAGACTTAAAAAGTAATGACAATATGTACAGTTAAATTAAAATCGGTCAGTACGATTAATTTTGACCGATATAATTATATAAATGGTAAAATTATTGTATCGTACTAATATTGGCAATGGTTTATCGGTCAAATGGGAAATATAATAAAAACAAAATGATATTAATTAACCTTTAAATGAAGTTTTTTTTGGAAGTTCTTAATTTTAGCTTTAAAAAAAGTTCTAAATTTAAAAATAATAATTGGCACTCCTAATTTTGCACTATATATATACACACACAACATGCGATATGTCGTATTGTGTTGCGTGCGGTGAGTTTCTTTGTCGTTTCGTGATTCATACCGAACCCTAACGCAACCATGTCGACCAAGCAAGGTTTCATGATTCTTCTATCTCAATCTTCAATTACTCTTTATTTCTCTTATTCCGTGCATTATTATTAAATTCTTTCTGTGAATGTGAACCCTAAATTCTGAATCTATTGATAAAATCATTAAGTATGTTGTTGTTGCAATTTATTTAATCGATTTTTTTATTTGGGTATTTAGGTGGAAAAGCTAAGCCTTTGAAGAAACCCAAGTCTGATAAGAAAGATTACGACGAGGTATATTGTTGAAATTTAAATTATTCTGGGTCTTAGTTATTTTCTACTTTTTTTTATATTTAATTTGGTGTGATAAAGAACATGGTTTTCGAAGTTGATGTAATTTTTTTGAGAATTATGTATAAAGTTTAAGGAAGAGGTAGAAGAGAAATTGAGGACTGGTTTGAATTATTTGGTGTTTTTTTATTTAAAACTTTTCTGCAGGTTTGATCTTATAGATATCTTGAAAATTTGTGTGAACTTCAGTTGTGTGTAAAGAAACATTAAATTGAAATTCTCAAATTGGGGTTTTGTTGTTTTCTATTTTTAAATTTTTTATGTTAAATTGATGTGATGAAAGAATAGAGTTTTCTTGATTGATTTGATTAGAGAATTAGTAATAAGCTTTTAAGGTAAACTGAAGCAGAGAATTATGATGTTGAGCTTAGTTTGGTTATTCGGTTTTTTTTTTGGAATTTAACTTTCTGAATGTGTTGATTTTATAGCTTTGCATCTTGATATTTGCGTCGAGTTAATGATGCATTAAATTGAAATCCTAGAATTACGAATTAGTTTTCTTCTGATCGATGACATTATCTGTGGGTATGGTAAGAAGACTTGCGCTTCTCGTTGATTTCAGTGCCTTAATCCGTTGCAATGGCAAAGGACATGATCTTTTGGTTTCTTGCTTTTGTTTCTATACTTGTATAATTCTTCGTACTTGGGGTCGATTCGTGCTTAAGGCGAACCTTTGTTTTGAGTACTGGTCTCTCCCCCCCCTTAAGATGTGCTTGTGCTATATATTGTCCTTTGATCAGTCTTCAAGATGAACTGTTGTCTGATGACCAAATTCGCGTGTTTCCTATTTCGATTTTCACTCTGGCCAATTATTACTTTTATGACCATATTAGCTTGTTTAGAATCAGATCATGGTTCTCTTAAGATCTCTAGTTGAGTCCCATGAATGAAGCATTACAATATCTTCATAATTGTTTATTTGTTTTGAAATGTTAGTTTCTACTTTGTAGCATGATTGATATATGCTTCCGTATTGCGTTGGTGAAATCATGCACAGACAGACACGGCCTTATGCGAACATTTAAATCTGGTTGTTACCTTGCAATTTATTTGTATAATTTTTATGTGTAGATTGACATGGCTAACATTCAGAAGAAAAAGGAAGAGGAGAAGGTCAGATATTGTATTTCAATTTAATGCATACTGCGGTTCAATCGATTTTTCGTTTATACTTAATTTCGCTGCGTATACTGAACAGGCGCTAAAGGAGTTGAAAGCGAAGGCGTCACAGAAGGGAAGTTTCGGAGGTTCTGGGCTGAAGAAGAGTGGAAAGAAATGAAAACTCCATCATTGAGCTTTGTTACCATGAAGACATTTATCTCTTACTGTGTCCTACTTTATCACTTAGGTGTGTCAATATGTAAAACACAATAAATTACTTGTTTGTTTTCTGTGTGTTGAAATACACTACTTGATTTCACAGACATTGGTACTGGTACTTTTTGCATTTAAGATATTCATAGCCAATAGTTGTGGGTTTTATTTTTAAAGATAAAGAAGCTTTTTTTACATATGAAGCAACAATTGAACTCTTATTAGTATGTTCATAGGGGACTAGGAATGACTAAGATGGGTTAGGGTACTGTACTACCCATACTAGACCAGTTCATTAATTTCTGGAAAAGGTCATATATTATTTATCGTATAATATTATAATTATGATACAAATTTATTTAGCAAAAACTGAATAATCAATATAACATTAAATCATTTATAGACTAATAACACAACATGACTACTGGAGATTATAATATCACTAGTTAATAATAGAATCTTATTGTTTAGTAATATAACATCATAAATTATGATGAAAAATTTATTTAGCAAGAACTAAATAATCAATATAACATTAAATCATTTATTGACAACATGATATTATTAATTAACAGTATCGCAACACATTTATCAATTGTCATAATATTATACTTATGGACTAACAATAAAATATTAGTTATGATTATCACGTAGATTTCTGAATTATAAATATGAATATTTACAAGCTCTTATTATTGGATCCATTGAAAGTGAGTTCAAAATTTCTAATCTCAATTAATTGCAAAGTCCAAAAACAATGGTCTACCGTTATGGATATTACCTGATCATTGTTATCCCTGTATATATAGTTCACTTGAAAGTTATTAAATAAAGAGTTTTTATGTTAGTTATTGTTTAAATAGTTCAACTGCAGAATATTTTGACATTTAATTTAATATAAAATTGAAAACCTATAATGGTCATTAATTATTTAGGATTTATTTAGAGTATGTGAATTAACAAGTTCCCTTAGTATATTGATTAATACATCAAATATTTTTAAAAAAATAATAGTTATTTCATGTATCTATATCTATCTATACTATATATAAAGGCAAAACCTCTAATAACTACCTATATGGCATAATTTTTCATTGCCTATTTTGCCCTTCTAATTATCTATTATTACAACTATACTATATATACTTACTATATATAAAGGCAAAACCTCTAATAACTACCTAAATGGTATAATTTTTTATTGTCTATTTTGTCCTTCTAATTAACTATTATTACAATGTTTACAACACAATAAAATAAATATCAAAATTATAGGTTTTAATATAGGTTACATATATATAAAATATCAAGTCACAAATGTAATTTTTAATATAGGTTTTAATAATATCAAAATTCATTTTCATATTTTTTTATTACACAAATTATAATATCATGTACAACAGTCAATACAAAAAATGATATATTTCTCTAAAATGAAATATTTAATATTAGAAAATAAGAATGCGGGTCGGCATGCACGAAGTGCATGTCGACACGCTAGTATTAATAATTAAAATATGATACTTTTACTGTATTATTTTTAACTGGATTTCTTAACTATTCTTAAGGACAAATATCTTTAATTTTAAGTTTTAATATAGATCATATTTTATAAGTATGTAATTTTTAACAATATTATGATTATTAAGATAAAAGAGTGATGTAGAGTAAAAAAATAGTTTATAAGTTTAAAAAAGTAGGTGTTCTCTACATGATATAAATTTATTAAGTTCAATTTACATCTATTCACATAATATGAATACCATACCCAAATTGTAATGGTAGATATGAATTTATTAAGTTAGTTTGGTTTCTTTTTTTCCAATCTACTAAATTTTAATGATAGATTATAATTATTATAGATGTCATTAAATTTGTGATTAATAATTTATTGTCAAATAGAAATTGTGCATCGGATAGTAATGTTTGGATTTCTGAACTACGTTGTTGTTATTATTAAATAATCACAGGCATATTATTTAACTAAATAATAGCTTGATATCGTTAAATATAGATTACACCCCATAATAGAATTATAAAATTACTCCTATATTTTTATGTTTACATAAAACTCTAATTTATATATACATTACACTGATTATTTCTTTAAAGAGATAAGTGTAATCTTCTAAATAAGAAATAGATGTAATTAAGTTAAATAAAATATGATATATTATAAAGATAAGTCCAAATAATATATGAATCAATATCTTACAACATAATAGTAATTTAAACAATATCTCTTTAAAATTATTGATAAATTTATAACAAATAAAAAAAAGATATGAAATACTATTTTGATTTGTTTCCACAACATATCTTATTTTTTAAATTTATTTACATTAATCACACATTTTTTTTCTTATTTCTTGTGCATGAATAGTTAATATAATAAATGTAAATAACTAGAGGTGATTTGTGTAAGCATAAAAAAAAGACGAATATTTTAATTAATTTTACTAAAATTTAGGAGTGTAAGTCTAATATATAATTAAATATATATATATATATATATATATATTTAAAAGGAAATAATGAAATAAGTATAAATTAGATTAGTTAATGAATAATTAAATGAATGAAGTTAAATAAAGGAAAAAAGGAGAGGGAACCGCCATAACCCGGGAAAGTAGCTTATTCGTTACGCACTTAACCTCTAGCTGTCTTTATTACGACGTCGTTTTCACTGTTGTCATTTTTTATATTACGCATTGTTTGCATTGTTCTCTTCTTCTCCAAGCTATCTTCTTTACGACGTCGTTCCAACGCTGTTCCTGATTTCTTCTTATATACTGATATTGTTGTTATTGCTTTTTCTGATAACCGCTTTTATTCCTTTGTTATTGATTTCTTATGAAATCACTCATTTCAATCACTGAATCAATGAAGATTGTCATTTACCAAGACTCACCGCCTTCCTTCACCGCAGCGGCGCCGCCTTCTTTACCTTTCACTCCACCGCCTTCGCTCCCCGGCGTGCCGTCATCGGCGATACTCTCATCGTCGCCGACGCCACTGTCGTGTGCTCAAATCAAAGGAAGCGTTAGAAGCTAGACGAAAGCAACAAATGCAAATCTTGATGTCCATGCGATGATAACATCAACAACAATTCCTTCTTCTTCTTTTTGATATTATTATTATTATGTTTATAAAACATTTACTTACAATTGCTTTATTTTAATTTCTGCAGGACATTGCAATTGATGAATCTACTACTCTCACATGCATGGGATCAACTATCCGGAACGATGTCTCATTCCCGATCCCGGACCGATGACATTTTATCACATGAATAAAAGAAATAAAAAAAAACATAACATTCTCATTGGATCGGGAGAGAATGAGACACTGTTCGGGACAAGTGATCTATGTCCCTCTCACATGCAGGTATATGACCTATACTTTCTATTTTCATCTTCAATTTTTATGCTTCTTAACTTTTTTTTATACTTTTCACGCTGATTAGTTAATATGTAAATATCATTAAATTTGTTAGTAATTGTGTGTAAGAATCTTTTAAGGTATACCTTAATTTGCATCTTGATATTTGCGTCGAGTTCCGATCTGTAATGACATTAGTTGAAATCGTAGAACTAGGGATTAGTTTTCTTCTGACCGATTTCCAGAGTAGAATTTCACATTATCCATGGCTATAGTAAGAAGGCTTGTGCTTCTGGTTGATTTCAGTGTCTTAATAGGTTGCCATGGCAATGGACATCACCTTTTGTGTTGAATGCTGGTCTCTTCCCCATTAAGATGTGATAGGTATTGTCCTTTGATCAGTCTTTTAGATGAATCGTTGTTTGATGACCGAATTAGCTTGTTTCCGATTTTGATTTTCACGCAAAGCTATTATTACATACTAACATTTACATTTGTCGATAAAAAAGAAGAAGCTAATATTACTTTTATGACCAGGTTAGCTTGGTTCTCCCTTTCTTTTTCCCACCGGTAAAAGGAACTCCATGCAAATCATAGTAGGTAATTTACTTTGTATAGTAGTTTCATTTAAATTGAACTATTTGAGTTAATAAGATGATGGTTCGCTCAAGTTTGAAGTATGATATCCAATGAGTCTCATGAATGTGAAACCTTAAGTTTCTAGCATGATTGATATTCGCTTTCGTATTGCCTTAGTGAAATTAAATGCGGACAGACACCACCTAATGTAGATTGATCGACATGGCTAGCATTCAGATGAAGAGGAGGAGGTCAGATATTGTATTTCATTTTTACGTTCAATTGCTTTGTTTGAGTAACCATCCTTTTATATTTAACTCTGCTGCATACACTAAACAGGCACTGGAAGAGTTGAAAGCCAAGGTATTAGAGAAGGCAAGTTTTGGAGATTCCGGGTTCAAGAAAAGTAGAAGACTCCATTTTAACTGTATACATCCATTATTGAGCTCTATAATTACAATTGTTATCATGAAGGCATATATATCTTATTGTGGCCTATTTTATTTTCTAGTACTGAACCTAGGTGTGTCATTATGTAAGTCAAATAAGTTACTTGTTTGTTTTTTGTATGCAGTTCAATGACACACTTGGGTTTTGATAATTACTCATCCGTTTAATGGTGTGGCTGTGGCAGACTTGTTCAAGAAATAATAGCTTTACTTGGTAAGTTCTAATTACTTCCAATCTTATTCATTCGTTTATGCTGGCACCTCCTAGGTATCATTTCTCAATGTTTTGCGCTTTGTCTTGCAATTGCATATACATGTCTCAGTTTTTTAGTTGCCTGCGAAATTCAGCTGCTCTATCCCCTGTAAGAACTTCCTGTGTCCACCCCGCACCATTGACATCCCTAATCTTTCACCCTGAGCACATTGCCAGAAGAAATTCGAGTAGAAACCATGCACCCCTCGAACACCTCGCATCCTAGCACCCTTAATCTGCAACAGAGATCACATATTGGCGTCGGACAAACCCTACCAGATTCTATAGAGTAACTCATTTGTGGCGAAAAGCATCTAACAGTAATCTCAACTTAAAATCTGATCTTCATTAAAAGAAAAGTAGAAGCATCCGTAAATTTCGTAGATTTCGAATAGAGCAGCCATCATGTGTGGAGGGAATGGATTCTATAACTTTGGAAAACAAAGTTGGGTCTACAGACAAATAATTGAAAGAAAGAAAAAGGATTATAGCGTTGAAGATGGAGAGTTAGAATCTGCACATTGCTAATAGGTGGGCACATAGACTCTTTCTTTTGCTTTGAAGATATTC